TTTTAAATCTGAAGTTTATAAATAGAACGGGAAAAGTAGAACATTAATGAAATTAGGCACTTTTAGGCTTTTCTCGTGCAAAGGAGAAGGGGGCATAGTTATTAGAGAGAATTATAATGAAGTCCTAATAAAGAAAAATAACTACAAAAAAGTTTCAATAACAGGGTAAAAGTTGTTATTTTCTACCTAAACTTGTCATTACAGATTATTTAAATCGTTATTGAAATTTTTTGATAACTGTTTTTTTTTTTGGACATGATTGTAATTATTAGCTTACTCATGAAGGGGACTCCTTGTTTATGTCAAAAATATAAAATTCCACACTACTTGTTTTACTTGTAAATAATACACTCATTGTTGTCATGAAATCTAGTCCATTCAAAATCTAACTTGAATGGTTCAAATTTAAAAGTTTTAATTTTCGGTTTTTTAACAATACGTTTTCTTTTAAGAAGTGCCAGTTATTGAATTACTTTATTTTGAATTCTGAATCTATTAAAATAAAAAATTATTCAAAATATAAATAATATTTAAATTGAATTTAAATAATCTAAAATGAATCTGAATGGTTATGATGAAAATGAGCAACCCATATTTTTTTCATGAGCACGAAATGTGCTCGAGCACGAATCGATGGCAAACATAAGTTGGTGGGGGGTGAGTATGTTGAAATTAATTGAAGGGCGGCCCAATATCTTCCTAGCAAATCCATCGTAGGAGGTACTTCCTTAGATCCTACCCTACGTATGTGGGAAATGGGAATCGTCTTTTGAAAATTAAATAAAAGTACTGCTCCCTCCCTCACTAAGGCCTTGTTTGGTTTGAGAGGAGGGTAAGGGAGGGTAGGGTAGGAAAAGAGAGGGGAGGTTTTATCCTTATCATGTTTGGTTTTATTAAAAAGGAAGAGAGGAGAGGATATTTAATGATACATTGTTTGATTCAAAAAGAGAAGGAGAGGAATAGTAATAATCAATTTACCATTTTACCCTTGCATATTAGTTTATATTTTTTATTGATATATTATATAAATTAATTTATATCTTAATTTAAATTATATAATTTAATGCAAATTCAGTCTTATCATGTTAATATGTGCGTTAAAAAATTAGTGCAGTAATTTTTTATTCTAATTAACATAATAATATATTTAAAATAATTAAATTAGCAAATTTTATACTCTAAGAAGAATAAAATTTTATTCTCTTTAGACTGTCCTTTTTTTCAGCTTTAAAATATATTTAATAAATAATATATTTATAAAAAATAATTAATTTTATAATATTATAATTTTTATTTAAATAATTTTTTATAATATATTTTTTAATTATAATATTTTTTATTTTTTATTTTTTACTTAGGATAATTTTTTTATTTGAAATAAATATTATAATAATATATTTTATGGATAGTAGTGGAATATTAAAAAAATCATAAGGGTATAATAGTCTAAAAATTTAACTCCCCTTCAAAATTTTTAACCAAATGAGGGGAGGAGCTCCCCTTCCCTCCCCTCCCCTCCAACCAGACAAACCCTAAATATAATATAGGTAGTCTAGAATTTCATGATATTTTTATTTGTGTAAATATTACTTGAATCCAAATAGAATATATTACTTCCGTTTCTCAATATAAAAATTTATTTTATCTTTATTTTAGTTCTAAATATAAGATTCAAATCTACTTTATCTCTCATTTATTCTTTTTTTTTCTAAGGTAGTCATTATAATAATGTAATTCTAGCCAATACATTTAATTAATAAGGATATTTTAGAAAAGACAATACTTATTTATTATAAATAACTAACTTAACTAATTTTTTTAATATACTCAAATTAATCAACTAGCTCTTATATTAAAAATCAGAAATAATATATATGTTAGTTAAAACTAATTCAAGAGAGTATATTTTAGTATAGGAATGGGGTTGAAATGTGTAAGAAACACAGAATCGGGTTGGACAAGGTACGGAGGGTATCATGGGCTCACGCGCGAATGATTTATATCATACTCCCTTCTAATAGAAAAAGTTTAGCAAATTAAATTTGTTGTGAAATTCAGCTGAATTTTAATATTATCCTGTACTAAATTTTAACATCATATTAATTTATATTTAGGGGTGAAAACTAGCCAGGCTTTATCCTTAACAGGCTAGACTTGTGTTAAAGCCTGTCGGCTTGAGCCTAGCCTGTGGCCTGTGATAAGCCTTGTGTTCAACCTAAGCCTAGTCTGACCTGAAACTTGTTAAAAAGCTTGAAAGTTTTGAAAATTTTGAACATACATAAATTAATTCAAAATTATAATAACTCAATCTAAATATCTAATATGGAAATTGTAATAATAGGCTGACTTTAAAACTGGTTTTTTGAGGAGAAGATGCAGTCAAATAAGCCATAGATTCTAGACGAAACAACTTGCAATGGTCAGCTAAAAAAATCAATCAGTAATAACATAATCTATTGATGCATTCTAATCAGTTTGTGAAAAAAATTTACGAAACTAGTAAATGAATTAAGGCAAATAATCTTAGACTTACTAACGTCATTTATAGAGATATGCAAATCATCATAAATGGGCATCATTCAACAGATTGCACTTCAATAACACTCCTAGACAACCTATCCAGTTCAAATCAAAATAATAAATGGCATCCTCGAATGGATAAATTACACCCATCGGCACTTGAACTCTTGAAGAACCATAGCAATTTGAGTTTCAACACTTTGAAGAACTAAAGCAATTTAAGTTTCGATCATCAAAAAGCAATTTAAGTTTCAAATAGTAACATCTACTATCAGAACAAGAACCATCATTCCAGTCAAACATAGAATGACAAAGCAAAGAATATTTCGATTAAAATATCCCTAAAAGAAACACAGCAGCAGATAACTAAAAAACCAACAAATGACCGAGCACTAGCACTAGTAGATTGGAGGTCGAATAGCAAACGGCAAACGAAGGTCGGAGGTTGTTAGATTCATCAAACTAGGGTTCTTCAAATGGGTTAGCTTACCTGGCTAGATGAGCAATGAGAACTGACGAGGAAGAGTTGTCGACATCAATGATGGGTTCAAGCTCTGACCTCCGAGTTGTGGCTTGTGACTGTGAGGACTGAGGAGGAGGATGACTTGATGCCTCCGATGCTGTGGCTTGGGCTTGGGAGTCAACGTGGCTGAGGATATAGAGACCAGAAAGTAGAAGACATGAAGATTGAAGAGAGGTAGGTAACTACATGACTGAGCATCCTTCACACCGATGCTAAGCAACTAAGCGACGCCGGTAAGCACGAGCACAAACCGTGGAGTCAAGTGCCTATCTATTTGACTCTAAGATTAAGGTAGGAGAAGGAGACCAGAGATGGAGAGCCAATATGAAAGGTGAGACCGTGACTAGGACTGTGAGGGTGAGAGTAAGAGCAGTGGTCAAAAATTGAAATGAAGATTGAGGGGAAAACGAAAACCTAAGGGAATTATGGAGTAAATAATCTTTTTGCCAATTTACTTAATAGGGTTTAAAATTATATATCATGTAAATGTAGTAACAACAAAACGTAATGGTATAGTGGTGAAGTAACTTCTCACTCACTCACAAGTCCTAGGTTCGAGACTTATATTTTCCATAACCCACATAATATGTGAAAAAACATAACAGGCCCAAGCCGCCTGACAGGCCTTACAGGCATCTCATGGAGCTTGAGCCTGGCTTGTTAGATGAAATAGGCTTCTAAAAAAAGCCTGAGCCTGTGTTTTTTTTAAAAATAAGCCTGGCCTGATCAGGCCCAAAGTAGGTCAGGTTGTAGGCCCCTGACAGGTCGCTTGGCCTATTCCCACCCCTATTTATATTTCATTACTATCCTCATTAAACATGATAATATAAAGAAAAAATATTTAATACTTATTCAAATTATCAAATATTCTTGTGAAAAATAAGAAATTTCTTTTAGAAAGACTCCTATAATAAGAACTAGAGTGAGTAATAATTAGTCTTAAGTACTGTCTGCGTGCGTGTGGGGCAAAAACATTTGTTCCCTCAAGTATTGGCTTCCACATCGGACTTGTGCCTTACCACTAACAAACTTTGTTTCCCTGGCTCAACAATTTCTTGCGCTTATCCCACCCAATCAAGCAAGATTCAAGGTCTCATTACATGATCAGGTCAAAAAAAAAAAAAAAAGTCTCATTACATGCTCCTTGGATGATATTAAATGTATATTAGAAGCTGGTTAGAAAGTTTATTTTGACCATAAACATAATATCTTCATTTATTTTATATTTATATTTATTATTTTTTAAATTAATTTATTTAATTTATAAAAACTGATATACTACCTCTAGTCTTTAATATAAGAGCTTGTTTGACTTTATTTTAATTCTAAATATAAGATTCCAATCTAATTTGTCTCTCATATTTATCTATTTTTTTCAAAACAGTCCTTACAATAATAGTAGTTTTAGTTAATACACTTGATTGGCAATGGTATATTAGGAAAGACAATATTTATTTATTACAATAACTAATTTAACTAGTTTTCTTGATTTTCTTAAATTAGCGAACTAGCTTTTATATTAAGAACCGGAGGTAATATAATTTGATGTTATATAGGATATTTTAGGAAGATTATTATGTCATATTTGTTATAACTAATTAACTTAACCTCATTAATTTATCCAAATTAGTTAAGTAGCTACCTCTTACACCATGGACAAGAGGAGTATAAAGACATCACATATCTATGTGTGCATGCTCCCTCGTGTCTTAGACTTAGGAGCTATACATTTAATTTATGAAAATTAAAAAAATTAGTTAAGTTAATCATTTTAATCATATATATTGGAAATACTCTCTTAATAAACAAAATCCCTTGATCCATGTAATCAATCAACAGGGAGAGCTAAGGCCAAAGGAAAAAAAAGAACAATCAATGGGGAGAGTTTACGAAAAGAATATAAATTTAGGAGATAAAAACATCTTGCATGTAGGATAAAAACATGTAAAACCCTCTCTACTAACACTTACATTTAGACTAGGAGGGAGAATCCATAAAAGTATCTACAAAAATAATAAGAGCAAGCATTTGAAAGCTTCAAAATGGGAAATGGTTTACTAGGGAATGAAGAGATGACAAGTGGAATTGAATAACTGGGTTCGGTGTTTGCGATCGTAATGGTTATGGAGGATGAGGAAGCAGTGAAGATGGTGATGGAACTTAGGGTTGATGAGGTTAGGGACGATTCTGTAAGTGGAACTCACTCTCACACCTATCGAAATGGCCAATCCTCTTGCTGACTCCAACAAGTCCTGCATCTCTCTTCCTGCTCCGTACATTGCCTTGTTCTTCACTCCCACTTCCATTCTATATATCGTCGCCCCACTCTCTGCATACACTTCATCGCCCTGCCTCCATCATCGTCATCATCATCAACCTCATCAATTACAAATTCCTTACAATTTTCTCAAGTATAGCTAATTGTGACTGATATAGATACTGACTAAACAACATGTAAGTTGTCACAAAATATTATGTTTATAATTGCCTCCTTACATTTATATACACTACCTCAAACTTTAATATAAAATACAACTGACTAATTTGGGAAGAATAAAAAAACTAAAAAATTACTTTAAAATATTCATATTTATTGTTTTTTTAGACTAATTTGCTTAACTTATAAATTGATATATAATTTAATGATACACATAATTAAGTATTTTAGAAACGTATTTTAGAAAGATTATGTAACATAAATTATAATTAAGGTAATTTTTTTAAAATTTTTAACTTTTCTAAATTAGCCAACTAGGCCTTATATTAAGAGTTGTAGATAATAATTTGTGAGGGAATCAATTCCGATATATGTTAAGTGAGGATCATATCATCAACCATGAACTTCTTTTTTCTAGTGGAGAAAATGAAGAGGAGGAGGGAGGGTTACGTACATGAGAGAGAGCAAAGGGTAAGATGGAAAAGGACAAGTGGATGAGAGGAGGATGAAGGTGAAGGCGAAAGAACTTGGATTTGTTTAGGATTCCCAAACTGATGGAGCAATTGAAGGTCAGGATCTTGGTTGACACCCCGGTCCTGTCCACTCCTTCCCCTAACTTAAACTCTCGCACTCTTTCCACCTGCAATGATATAATATTCATATCACCAAATTAATTAATTAAAAAGAAAATTCTTGAATTTACATAGTAATAATAAATCTAAAATACCCCATTTTAATAAATTATACTTCTTCGATCCTTAATATAGGACTCAATTATTGAGTTGGTTTTGGTCCTAAATATAAGACCCATTTCTTATATTTATCAATTTTCTCTAAACTACCCCTATGAATACTCTTTCAACCATAATCAAGTAAAAGAGGGGAAATGGGTATTAAGAAAGATGATTATGTTGTTTTAGGAAAAACATGTTACATTTCTTATAATTAACTAACTTACCTAACTTCTTTAATCTGATCAAATTAGTTAAATGGGTTTTATATTAAGGACCGGAGAAGTATATCTTCAATAAATTAAAGTAGAGGAGACATGATGGCATATAATGGAGCACATCGATATGGCGTGACTACTCTAGACTCTACAGCCCCCCCCTTTCTTTTTAATATATTGTTACTATAATATATTTAATTAATATATTTATCAATGCAGGTATCGATCTTGTGCATAACATAAATAATATGCTAACATATTGGACCCACATCGTCATAGATATTCATCATTTCAACCACATCTTTTGTGGCAACATAATGCAGCATAGTGTATAATAATAAATCCCGTTAACAGATGTTCATAGAATAATAGTCAAAATAAAAACACATCCCATGAAAAATGATGCTCTTTTGCCCACTTCAATATTCCTCCCTCATCAAAAATGATTTGTAATCCTCCTTTTCAATTACACTCACACTGATAAATTTCCCTCCTTTTAAAGAGCTTGTCCAGAAACAAAATCACAACTAGTATCTGCCTTTTAATTTGCACAATGGCAGAAAAGTACAAATGATTTATATACCTAGGTGTTGAATTTTTGTGTCTCACAGGTATTGGAGGCAAAATTGCTTGAAGCATTGCCAGTACTAAATAAGAGTACCTATCCCAATAAAGATTCGAATATTAGTTCATCTCTGTATGGGGATTTAGTCTCTTTTACTAAACTCAATCCTATACTATTTTTATTTCAAACCCCACATAATTGGGAAAAAAAAATTACTCGGTACCTGGAGGGAAAGCACAGGAGGGGGAGGCTTCGTAGCAATGTAGAAGACAAGCAACGCAACACTTAGACTCACTAACAGTCTCCAGCTGATCTGAATCCATATCCAAGCCCACGAGTCTGTGTTCCGGTATGTCCAGTACCTCCTCCACCCTTTCTCCTTCCTCCAATCATAATCAAACACGTCGTCATCATCTTCCTCCTCATCATCCTCACCGTTCCTGTTCATTACAATCAGGCGGTTCATATCCCCGTCGTTCTCCGTAGGCGCCGTGGCATGGCTCTCGTCGTACGACACCTTCTTGTGGTGGTGGTAGCAGTGGACAGAGCCCCGGGAGGAGGATGAGTAACGGTAGAGGGCGTCCACATGGGTCGGGTTGGAGACGGGGCGGGCGGGGGAATGGAAGGTGGATGATTCGGCGTCGTTTTGAGTGAAGGTGGTGGCGGAAGGGCTCTGGACGTAGTAAGCAGGCAATGAATAAGAATGGTGGCGGTGGTGGTGATACATGAGAGCCTCGTGCTCTTCCACAGCAACGTTGTTGTTAACGTTCGACATTATTGTTGTGAGAGAGTTGTGAGCTGATGAGTTGTGAGTGTTTGTGTGCGTCTTCCAAAATGGCAAAGCCGTTTGGGATTTTAAAATGAATCAAAGAGATTTGCTCCCAAAAAAAAAAAAAAAGAATCAAAGAGAGTGGGATTGATGTGAATGATAGCATATAGAGGTTTGGGTCTTCATTAAGAGACAACAAAAGAAGCAAACATAATTGCCCCTAATTAAGTGTTCACGGATACCCTACTGTTTTTTTCAACTATTCTATTACTACCTCCGCTACTTAATATAAGAGTTTATTTGATTTTTATTTTGGTCATAAATATAAAAAATCCAATTTACTTTGGCTCTTATATCTATCTATTTTTTTCCTAATATAATCCTTATAATAATAGTAGTTCTAACCAATACACTTGATTAGCAAGGATATTTTATGAAAGATAATACTTATTTATTACAAATAATCAATTTAACTAGTTTTCTTAATCTACTCAAATTAGTCAACTAGTTTTTATATTAAGGATCAGAAATAGTATTATGTACACAGTATAATTTTTTTAAATATATATACAAAAGTTATATTATATTATTCCTAGTCAACATCTAAAGTCTAGGAACATTTTTTTCAAACATAAAGTCACGTCATTTGACTGATTTTGATCCTTTAATTTGTTGATTATAGATTTTTTCCCCTCCCGTTTGGTTGAATTCTGATAACACGGGTGTCGATAATTATATATTAATCATATATACCCATGAGAAAAAAACCCACAAATTTTAAGTCATTTTTTTTAGATATACTAACTAATTTTCAAACATTGTATGGAATAATTATGATTAATTTAGATTGAACCAAGTTCAATTATAATATTATATGGATAGAAAACTCTTGTAATTCTTTTTTCATAACCGCATGTATCCTATATATGAATTAAATTTTTTTGGTAATTCTTATATTAGAATGTTACACATTTTTTTATTCACAACTAGACCCGTCTCGATCTGGAATATCCGGCATATGAATTTTTTTTTTAAAAGGAGGTAATATTATAATTTTCATCGAGCAACGTGATTAGAAATTAAAATAAAGAAAATAATAGGGACGAGGAGGGAATGCTGCAATTACGGAAAAGTGTCGGGGGGGCTTGGCTCAGACGATTGCGCCTTAAAAAAGGCATTTTAAGAAGTTTCTTTTTACAAAAAAAACAAATAATAAAAGACACGCTTTTGCACCGAAATGCCTGTGGGGGAATGACAGCCAACTGCCAAGTATGCACGCTTTACTCATTACACTGTTCTCCTCCTTTTTTGAGAAAAAAAAAAAAATTGTGGCTTATAATAACAATTAGGATCTAACCCCCGAATATGTTCTGTTAATTTAATTGTGTCCTCCCAAATATGCCCAGGGCCCATGCATTTTACATTAATTAATTGGATCCAATGCATGCTCTATATTTGATGAACAGAGCTTTGAATGGTCACCAAAAAAAAAAAAAACTAACGGAATTGAGTATAGCGGAAAGGATTAGTCCCTCAAAACATGGTGAACTAAGCTTAGAACTCTCGCCGGGAGAGATGCTCATATTTAGTACTTGACAGTGTCTCGAATAGAATTAATTCTAATAGAAGTATGCATATGCTTTAGCAAAAAAAAACAGAAAAGAAAGATAACACTCAATATTATTAAGGATTAATATCATCTTTAGTCCTGAAATTTAATCTCATTTTGATTTTAGTTTCTAAAATTTGACATTGATCTTTAAAATTCAACTTTATTTTGAATTTGGTTCTTAAAATATAAAACTAATGGTTTTGGTCCTTCAAATGTGATCTCATTTGGATTCTGGTCAAAATATAAATTGACAAGCAGTGATGATTTTTTGGGCCAGATGCTATTGAGTAAGAAATTGGCTGAATAAAAATTAGACATTTTGATCAAACTAATCAAAAACTGATTCTGTGTTTTGCTTGAGTAAAATATGTGATATTATATACAGAAAAATTACAAATATAATATCCTTAGTATATTAATTATCTATATAAATGTTTTTGGGTCAATATAATTTTTAATTATTGAAATTTAACTTTATTTTTATTTTAATCTATGAAATTTAATTTCATGGTGGTTCGACTAAAAATTTTTGTTCCCTTGGAGGTCAAATTCCTGAAACAACTAGTTTCAAATTTTAAAGACCAAAACTAAAATAATATTAAATTTTAGAAACTAAAAATAATATTAACCCGACATTATACTTCTTTATCATACAATGTCTGTTTCAGTATCGGTCCATCCACATCCTAAAGCATTATTGTCCTCTTTCATCGTGGATCCCTAACAGGAGGAGAGATCCAAGAGAGCAGGCTACTATTTCCTTATAAGCAGTATGAATGAATTGAGCATCATTATCGATATCAACTTATAATACTCGTTAAAAAAATCAAAATTTAATATTCTTATATTGATTGATCATAGTAAATTTAATTAGCCATCAATATATCATTAAATTATACTACCTCCAGTCCTTAATATAAAACCCTATTTGACTTTTATTTTGGTCCTAAATATAAGACCCCAATCCATTTTGTCTCTCATATTTATATATTTTTTCCAAAGTAACCCTTCTAACAATGATAATTCTAGTCAATACACTTGATTAGTAAGAATTTTAGGAAAGACAACATCTATTTAGGACAAATAACTAACTCAACTTACTTCTTTAATCTTCTCAAATTAGTCAACTGGCTTTTATAAATAGGACCGAAGGTAGTATATATACATACCATTTTCGTACAGATGCCGAGTTTTGATGTTAATGTTTTGAATTGGGTTGTTTATCATTCAAAATTAACCAATAAATCATGTATAATTTAGTAGCATGGTGCAATTTCATGGGACTCTAAAATTGAGTCAGACTTAATTAATATTTCTGTAGTTTTTGTTTATTATATGAGCAGAGAAATTAAAATGCTGTGTCACGAAAACTTCAGGATGTTGAATGACAAAAGTGGATTAAAATAATGATAAGTAATGTGAATGAAGAATAATTAAGACTTGAAGTAGAGATGAAATTTAATTGAAGATTTCTTGGAATTGAAGAGAAAAATAGATTGTACGGCAAGGGTGTGATAGGTCATCATGGTAACATATATATATATATATATATATATATATTGGTTTAAATATATAACACTATACTTTTTGCTTTTGTCTTAAGATATTATTAACTCCACTTCTCCCAACCATCATCATTCAAACTAAATCAACATGTAGTTTTTTTTAAAATATATATATATTTCATTCTTCAAATACAAAGATACAACTTACGTTATATGTTTTCAATTGTTTGTGATGTTTCTTTTGTCTAACGGTAGGAACATGAATTGTTTATAACTAGAAACTCTATATATTGTTTTTCACGTATAGGATATGTATGGGATCAGAAATAAGATGTATTTTTCATAAATTATCCGTGAATAATATGGTTTTTATGTATATATTGTAATTTTTTGTATTGATATATTTGCTTGTAAAATATTTTGAAATAAACGTGAAATAAGTTAACTATAAATATGTGATGAAAATAAATTAAAAGTGAGTTTTATATAAAGTCCTCCCTCGTTATGTAATTTTCTAAATATACTTTAGCTACACTAGCTTCCAAATTTGACAATTTAGAGAATTCAAATTAGGGATTAGTACGTAAACTGTAATCCTAGCTTTTTTTTCCCTGAACAATGAGAATTCATGGCTGATAATCACCTATAATATGACTAGTCTTTTAATACAATATTTAATATATACCTGATACTAATTTTTTTGACCAAATCTCTGATACTCATTTACTACATAAACTTGTTATTTTTTGGGTAATATGAATTAATTATTATTGTAATTAGTTCCGCGTAAGTGTGATCTAAAATATTTGAAAGATCTGTACAAACAAAAAAATATATAATTATTTCAAGGATCATAGTTAATAGTAATTAATTAATAAAAGCGTTTTACATATGGAAACCAATTTTAATCTACATCATTACACAAAAAGACAACAGATTAACAATAAAAAAAATTAACAACATTAATGTATTCTGTCACAAATCCATGGCAAATTCATTTTTACTATTAGCCATGAAATATTTCTGTTGCAAAAATTTTATCACTAATCTGTTACAACATATTTAGCAATGAAATTGCCTCTCACAAACCTTAAGGATAACCAATTCTTATTTACGAGAATTATAATGAGATTTTTAAAAAAATAATTATTAAAAAGTCTTAATAACAATTTAAACAGTCTGTAATAGTGACAAATCCCAGAATAAGAAATTAACAAGTCCCAGAGTGAAAAAAGACAATTTTTTAATTTATTTTGTATGTATTTTATTTTCTTAGAATTCATTATAATTCTCATTTTGGGACGGCATGGGCATAACCTGACAATGAGGTGGCAATCAGGTGACGTGGCGCTAGTGATGTGATGTTGGGCCAAACATTTGCGTAGAGTTTAACTTAGGCGCAAATAAATTAGTGACCATCAGACTAATTCCATCACTAATCTATTTAACAATAAAATTATCCTTGATATAAAAATTTTCATCACTAATTCACTGTTTTTTACACAGTACATCATTTATTTTAGCCAAATATCTCTACCACACATATGTTCGTTGTGTATCAGAATTCATAGAAGGGAAGTGTTGTAAGTCTCGTATTATTGAATCTATAAATTAAATAAAATTTCACGTATATTTTAAATTCAAATATCTTCTTATATGTTTAATTCTTCATGTTACCTTAAACAATATTTAGTACTACATTTATGCTTAATATTAAAGCTGGATAAACTAAATTAAGAATATAATCTTAAAAAAATTAGTTAAATTAGTTATTTATCATGAATATCTGATGGTTTCCCTTGATTATCCCTTTCAATTTTGTGCTATAGATTATTGAAATCAGTAAAATATTCCGAAAAAAGATGAAAGACAAAATGAATTGAAATTTTATATTTAGAACTAAGTTTATTCTCCAATTAGCTTTTATAAGTTGTAGTACTACCTCCGGTCCTTATTATAAGACCCCGTTTGACTTTTTATTTAGTCCTAATTATAAGACCCCAATCTATTTTGTCTCTTATATTTATGCATTTTTTCCAAGATAATCCTTCTAATAATGATAGTTTTAGCCAATATACTTAATTAGCAAGGATATTTTAGGAATGACAACACTTATTTATTACAAATAACCAACTTAACTTACTTTCTTAATCTCCTCAAATAAGTCAACTGGGTGTTATAATTAGGACCGGAGGTAGTATTATTAATGAAATCTAAATTTGATTATTATTGAGCCTAAATAAAGTTAGCTTTGCCAACGCAGCTTTTTCTCTCCAAAAATTTTGAATTTATTACTCAGGAGACCGACTTCATCCTCTATCCCGTTTTCAAAGGGATTTTTATGAGGCTGACAAAGACAACGGTGACAGTTGATATGACTTATGCGTTTTGACATTAAGTATTTGTAACGGAAGCCTGACAACGCCAACGTCGCTTTGGCCGAGTGGTTAAGGCGTGTGCCTGCTAAGTACATGGGGTTTCCCCGCGAGAGTTCGAATCTCTCAGGCGACGTTCTTTATTTTTTCGTTTACTCTTTCTCTGTTTCTTCTTTTCCCCGTCCAAATTTGTTTGTTTAATCACTGTGTTTCCTCTTTCCCTGTCCATTTTTTTTCTAATCACTTCCTCTTTCGCTGTTTCGTCTTTCACTGACCGAGGGAGGGAGGCATGGAGCTAAATTTCTTGAAGCAAAACAGTAAAATACAGAATAGAGAGAAACAGTATAAATCGAATAAAAACTTCCAACTTAACTATTTTGGTCTGATGAGTTTACATCATCATTATCTTCTTGTACATGTTTTTTTTTTTTTTCTCCCCGGTTACTTTTCACTAACTCAATATAACAACCTCTGCATATTTTTGCTTCCTTCTCTTATAATACAAACAACACTACGTACAGTTCAACAACTAACACCTTTTTTATTTCATTCTTCTGCTTTTTTTGACTTCTCCCTAATACAACGTAACCTTTCTCACTATTCACATTTTCTCTTCTTCAATCTTCATCATAAGAATCTCCTTTGAAGTTTGAACATTATTTCACCAACCTAACCTATTCCCGCAAATTCACACAAAGAAAATGGCACCAGAAAAAACAAGATATGCAACAACATTAATGCCCATGCACCCCTCTATTCACAAGCAACTCCAGATTTCTCTCTACTCATATTTATATGTACCTCACACAAGAACGGAGTTCTTGAAGGAAATTTGGAAGCTGGTTGTGTACAATTCTGAGAAATGGTGAATGAAACAATGGGTGATGACAAGAAGGTAAGATATGGTCCACAAAAGGGTTTGTGTTTATTGTACTCGGAGGAACTGAATGTGGAGGGAAAAAATGTTTGTGCATTGAAGGTGTTTAAGTAAACGTCTAAAAGAACAAGAAAGAAAATGAAAAATTCCGAGGGTGGATATATATTACTCAACGAGATTGGCTTTGGAATTTGGGTGTGTACAATTGATGAGAAAAGGCAGAAAATGGGTGATCCACAAAGGGTTTATGGTTATTTCATTTGGAGTGACTGAAAGAGAGGAAAAATGGGTTTGTGCATTGACCGCGGTTGCGTGAATGTCTCTGTGAGAGGGAGGGAGGGAGGGAGAGGGAAATGAAAGATTTTCAAAGTTGGGACATTGCTCATTCAACTTGAAAATCAAGGAAAGGAAAAGAGGATATATCTTGCATCAAACCCTCCAAATCCCATTCTCCCACTCTTAAGTTTTCTCCTGATTGTCCATGATTATAATTCCCAAACCCGACCAAGTCCTGATGATGATGATGATGATCAGTGTTATTGAAGCAACCATTATTAAAATGGTTGTTGTTGATTTGACTTTTCACATCAGTAGGAACAACACTACTGTTATTATACTTCTCTTCCATGCTTCTACTCTCTAGAGGAGGAAGACACAGGTCTCTTTCTAACCCCATTATTTTACTATCTTCTCCCTCTAACCCCGTTCCATTATTATAATCATCTCCGTAAAACCCATCCTCCACCACGCCGCCGCCACCATCACCACCAAAGGATGCAGGCATATCATAAGGAATATTACTGTGATTATTCAACATGGAAAAGGGATACTCCATTAACTGGTGGTCACCACCAAAAGCTGCGGCTTGCATGGATTGTACGGATGCCGATGAAGATGATGATATTGATGAAGGTGATGAGTCCATATTGCACATGGTCATGTTGATGAAGGGCATTGAGGATGTGGTGGTGGTGGTGGTGGTGATGCCATTCAGCATAATATGATTTGATGATGAGTCTGTACTGTTGTTTGGTGAAGGAATAGCAGTGGAAGTAGTAGCAGCAGTAGTACAAGCAGTGTTGTTTTTCATCCTTTTCTTTAAAGTAGAGTTCCAGAAATTCTTAATCTCATTGTCTGTGCGTCCTGGAAGACGTGCTGCTATCTGAGACCACCTGAGATTTTCAGAACCAGAAAAAAAAAAAAAAGATTTAAAAAACCAGCTAGATGGAGAAGACAGAAACCTAATGTGTGTGTTGTGTGTGTGTGTGTGTGTGTGACACTGATATATATTCACAGATTTCTAAGCCTGTAAGCTGCAGCACAAAAACTGTATGGCTTATCTTCAATCCATGTGAGGACCTCTTAGGTTAATGGGCAGGGAAGGAATTGTCCTGTGTGAGAGCCTCCATATGAGGCCAAGTCATAATCAGAAGGTGATATTTTTAGTTGGTGCTGTTAATTAAATAGAAAGATTTTTGTTGTTCTAACTAACAGGTATATGTAACTTTCGATTGGGATAATGATAAATGTTTGATCCAATAGAAAATCAAAGAAACTTAAAGTAAAGAAAAAACTTGAGTCATCATTTTTAGGTAGATCATATAATAATGTCAATGACATCATTCATGATCACCATTACTGATGGATTTGTCACACAGAAGAGTGAGGAGCTCAATCACATTAAAGGTGTAAACTTTGTGATTTATCCTTGATCATTTATTTGAATATGGTCCGTAAATATAATATGGTAGGTATATAATGTAAGAATCCCGAAACCTGTGCATTGAGATGGTACCCCACATCAGTTAGATTTTGGGGGGGGGGGGGAATTTATGAATTACATTCTATCCGACGATTTCCGATAGAAACTTGAAAACCCCACAAAGAGGAAAATGAAACTGAGCATGTAAGCTGGAAAATGAAGAGCTGATAATGCATGCAGCTTTCAGATAAAAACTAGAATCTTTTGGGAAAATAGTGGAAGAAATTCACCAATCATTAATAACACCTCCGGTTCTTAAAGTTAATTGACTGATTTGAATAGATTAAGAAAGTTTGTTAAGTTAGTTATTTGAAATAAATATGTGTTGTTTTTCCTAGAATATCCTTGTTAATTAAATGTATTTGCTAGAACTACCATTATTACAAAAACTATCTTGAAAAAAAATAAATATAAAAGACAGTAGATTAGAGTCTTATATTTAGAACCAAAATAAAAGTCAAACAAACTCTTATGTTAAGGACTGAAATTAGTAGTAAATTAGGCAAACTCTCTTGAAACCCCAGACAAAACTTTGTACACAGAAACTTCAAAGATCAGTAACAAAATATTGAGTCATAAAAAGATTATATTGCGTCAATACATAAATATGACTTAGTTATAGTTGCCTTGGATTGATCTTAACTGTATATCTTCTGTGAGCCCAAGCATTATTAAGTTCAGTTGGATTTTCTAAGATTAATGTATGTAGTCAATGATATAGCCGAGGTGTTCAGATATTCCTCCTATATATGTTAGTCTCTAATTAATTAGAAAAGGAATTCTTTGTCTGTATATGTGTACTTTGTACGCGATGAAGTGCTCAGACAAAAACATATCCAAAGAACTGACAAGTATGCAAGGTAAAGAAAATTCATGAATACTCTATGTATGAAAATTTAACACATGAATACTCTAATAATACCATAGATCACTTTAAGAGAAATGGAAGAAATTAAATATGAATAATTTCTTGTAACATCTAACAAAAATGTCTAAGTTAATAAAATTCCTCTATTTGAAGCATGTTAACTTGGCATCCATATTAAACAGACACGTTAATAATAATTGAGGAGAAAATAAAAGAATAAATTTAAGGGATTGATATATCTCATATGAGTATATATGTAATGAATTAGCTTGAGATTTAATGATTGAAGATAAAACAATTAGTGGGGGGGAAAAACACTTACCTATTGCCAAGAATGGAATGAAAATGGAGAATGAGTTGTTCTTCTTGGAGAGAGAAAGCGCCTCTCTTAAGGTCAGGTCTGAGATAATTAATCCAACGAAGGCGACAACTTTTACCACAACGTTGAAGACCTGCATTTCTGGCAATGTCACTCCAGCAACCTTGTCCATTGGTCAACATGTACCTTATCAGCTTCTCATCCTCCTCCGGCGACCACAACCCCTTCCTTAGCTTCACAACGTTATTATTGTTCTTACTACTGTTCTTGTCCCTCCCCATTATCATATGTATCGGCTAGTAATATTGAGGATCGAGACAAAGGGAGGATCAGAGTTTCTTTTTTGTCCAAGTGGGTTTGTGAGAGAGATCTGACAGAGTGCTATATAGCAGAAGGAGGCTTCATAGTGTGGGAATGGTGATGATGATGGTGACGGGCTTGTGGGGTTTGCTTAAAATATGAAATATGAGTGAGAGAGAGAGAGATTGTGTTTGTTTGTGTAGTTAGTTGATGGGTAGAGTGGAAAACGGATTGGAGGGGGACCTCCATTAATGAATACATAGAAAGAGAGAGTGAGAGAGATCAGACACAGAGAGGGATGGTTGGTCTTCTTGTCTTTGACTCAATTCTAGTCTTTTTCGATATATTTTACTTCACTCACAAGGTAATCATCGTCTCCTCCTTCTTCCCTTGATCGCTTCTATCTTTTTGTATGTAACACTAACAATTTTATTGCTTCCACTTCACATAATGCCCTCTCTCTCTCTCTCTCTCTAGGGTTTAAACTTCAAATTCACGTGTGTGATGAGACTTAAAGAAAGAAGAAGCCGACATCATGAGATCAATAGTAAATTCAATTTATTAAATCTATATAACACCACTAGTAAGGAAGCTTCATCTTTTTATAAAGCCACTCAGGTTTATATAAATATACTGTAATAGATATTTAGCATGATCTAGCTATTATTTATACTTTTCCTCTATACTTTACAATTTCTCTAATTTATTTTTTTTTTCTGGGAAAAGTGTTGCACGCTTGACAGCTGTCTGATGATTTCCATGTATGTATATGTGTGTGTGTGAAATAATTATTGGTTATGTGAAGGTTACATTGTTTTGCATGAGTATGAGCTTCATTAGGGGTAACAACTTTAAGTGGCATGTTTCTGAAGCAAATCATTTACACCTCCCAACAAAGCAATGCCAATTAATTTGTCTTTCTTTTATTGGCATAATCTTATGATTGCCGCCATGCTTTTCCAGATTAAGTATTATTCACTATAGTATCCTTTCAACATATGAAACATCACAACCAAGATTTGTACGTGTAAAATGATGATGAGCACATGGTTATTGTATAACTAACTGCGCAGGTTAAAACTCAAATTGAAGTACAAAAAGAAGTTTTCACTTTTAATCTAGCTATATTTGCAGAATTTACTGCTCCAAGGGATGACATAATCACCATTAATTAAGTAGCAGTACTTTGGTAGAAAGCAAAGAAAGTACCCTTAAAAAGGTTGTTCTTGCAATGAGAGGAGGAATCTCAATAGGTTTATTCTAATTAAATATATATTATTTTGTTAATCATATGCAAGAATAATCCTGAGTTTAAACTAATTTCCCTAAAATAATATAAAAATAAATAAACTGAATTTTAATTTTACTGATTTACATTGTTTGGCTAAAGTGGAATAGATATAGAGGGAATGATAGTGTGACTTGAAAAGTATACATTACTTGATTTTGTGGTAAAAATTAGTTGGATATTTGTTCTTTGATCAGGATTTCTCCTTCTTGAAGGATAACACGTGTGCTTCTTATCCATTGTAACAGCTGGATAATATCTATTTTTTCCTACCATGCTTCTTGGTTTGTTTTACAATCATCTGATATAATTTTTCTTTATTATTATTATTATTATCCCAATCAAATCATATATGAATTAGGGAAAATGGTGTTTAAATAAAAGATTACTACACCCATTGGTATCAATTGCATAAAATATCATAACTAAGAATGTTTCAAGATTTCACCTTGTTTATAACTTTATCTGACATGAATTTTTAACCTGAAAATTGAATTCAAACTTTACAAGATCACTTGCACAAAACTTTTATGCTTGAATATGGACATATCCAATCCTTTTCTTCCTGGCTGTCAAACTATATCTCTTTGGCTAATTCCCTTTCATTACCTACTCATGTTTCCCACAGCCAAATATTTTTCATACAGAAAATATTTTCATGAACCATATAAAGAAAATCCTATTCATCATCATCATCATCAGTATCTCAGTCATTGTCCAAATCATAAACAGATATACATGAAAAACTCTGTCAATTCCAAAAAGTTCCAAGGGCATTACAGTAATTGGGCTGTGTTCTGACAGGGACTCCCCCAATTTTCTGAGATGAAAATGAGTCAGAAACTTGAAGCTACTCAGATGTTTCAAAGGTGGCATCATTTCGTTAATCAACAGCTGTCCCAATAAAAGAGAAAGAAGAATGAAAATGTTGTGATGCTTGTGAGGATGTCCCAAGCAACATTCTACTTTGTTACAAAGACAAGAAACAACAACTCACCTGGGCATTCTTTTCTGTGTCACTCCTTGTACTACACTGTAATAAGGATATAATATTTTATGAACATGCAGAGAGGCAGAAAAACAAAAAGTTGAAGCACTTTGAAACACATGATGAACAATAAAGGGGAAAGTACCAAGGGAGATGGAAGTCCAAGGTTGAGTTTCAACAATTTTATCCTGCCACCCAAAAAAAAAAAAAAGCCAGGCTACAAAATCTGATTGTCTCTGTCCCTCTTTTATTATCTCTTTTAGATTTTATTTGTGATTTTTTTGAGTTTTGTTTCAATCATTGCTGATGGGACATAAGAGAGATTCGCTTAACAAAAGAAAACATTGATTCCACATATATCCGGTACAAAACATAAAAAATATTTTTTTAAAAAAAAATAAAATTTAACTGTATATGGTAAGCTTATATTTCAGTACTGGACTGTTTATAGAACACAATTAAAATAGTTATATAAGAATCTTTTAAAATATCAATTGTCAATGATTTGCCATCAATATCGTGGATATTAAATTATCAAGGAATTTGCCGTTTTTCCAATTCAACCATAAAATTCCCTCAAGCCTATTTAGAAGCAACAATGGAATCAACAAAAATATGCATGAGTAAGCATACACAAGACTTTCCTAGAATAGAAACACGTGTGCCAAGAACTTGGTCCATAACAATGGAAAGTCTGTACAGAACCCAACAGACTCCATCATCTGACTTAGAGTTACAAGGCATTCATTTGAAAAGACGTTCTTAGGTCGACTCAGATAATATACATCAAGCTGAGACCCACTCGTGACAGTCCTCTAAGTCTAATCATCATCGGTTGATGTAAACAAACCAAGAACACCATAGAATTTTCCTTATAATGTTGGTGCTGAGTACCTTCTTGGAAAGAAATGGTATAGGCAAAGGTACATCATATTATAAAAAGTCTATGTCCTTGAAAACTGAATATGGTACAGAAGTACTTCTTGCAAGATAACCAATAAGGTGCCAGATAAGCACATGTACTCAAACTCATTCACAGGGCAAGCATTATAAGTTAGAAGAGGAAGCCTTTATTTGCGGGAAAAAATGACATTCCATCAAATACAAATCCAGATCTGAGCACATTATTGCCAAAAAAAAAAAAAAAAGAATATACGATACTTTTTTCTCTTCCTAAAGCAATTTGATTTTGAAGCTATTAAGAGCAAATCCTGGCCTTTCTAGATGTCAACAAAGTTTATGGGTTCTCGCAGGAACCTCTCCATCTGAAGTGCCCTAGTCTTAATTGACATGTCAAGGACCTTCTGATTAAATTCTACCACCAGACCTCCCAATATGCATGGATCAATCTGAAAAAAATACATTTAATCACATTAAACTTATTTATAGAGAGGAAAAGAAGGGGGCAATAAAAGTTATTAACAATGGGTACCTTTTGTTCAAGGAGAACCTTTTTCCTGGCTCCTATGATAGCCTGCAGAGTCTCCTCCAGTGCCTGCTCCTCTTCAGGGGGAAGAGGCTGGTATAAACATAAATTGAAGTCATGCAACAAGCCAAAACTAAGCATCAAGTTAAATACAATATAGCCAGCAGAATAAATTGAACGTATAAAAAACATAGCGTCTAGGAAGAATTATCCTTTACTGACAAGTCAGCTAGAAAAAGGAGACAAAATAAGGTGATCAGGGAACAAAATTCAGAAACATAAAAAGATATTATAATGCAAGTAATTTTAAATATTTAAGTTTCTTTAAAAATGATATCAGACAACGAGAATGACAGGTAGAAAAAAATGATGAAAGTAAGATATGCAGATACTGGAACTGATAAGATGATCAAAATAGTCAAGCCAGGTGGAGAGAGACTTCTTTTTTTTTTTTCCAATGAATCTGTAGAGCCAAGCCAATAGATTAATACAATGGTGTCTTGGATGCGAAGGCATACGTAATAAAAAGAGGGATACTTATGTCCTATAAATGGAGGGAAAACTTAAAAATTCAAGGCTGTCAAATCCGCTAAATTGGAGGCATAAGTATAATGGATACTATTGTACCAAACACAAGCATTTCAGATGGCCCCTAGCACCCTGGATAGGACGAAGACTACGCTGCATTAAACACCTCAAAGATGCTTTTGAAATATTTCTAATAAGTTATGCAGATAAAATAAATCCTCCGCCTTCCCTTCATCTGTAGAAGAGATTAGAAACTGACAAGGAGAATTAAAAGATGCAGCCCAGTCATATAATAATGCCACTAACATTAACATATTCATACCAATTTTTGTTACTTGCTTATAAAAACTGTGCATGTGAAGCTAATATTAGAAATAGCCATGTGATGGATGTATGACATTCCAAGGACGTTAGAGAGCCATCAAAGAAGCGTCACTTACCATGACAGTGGTCACAGTAGCTTTCACCCCTTTATATGCCATGGTCAACTCCACAAACTTCCTTGCTATGCTTTCTAAGTTTCGTAGCCTCCCATTCTCAGCCACCACAACTTTAAAATAGAAAAATCAATCAGTTAATCCATCAGAGCAGCAGAAAAGTAATGTCTCATGTAGCAAGCAAGTTTGAAACACGGTTGAGAGAGAAAAAATAACAAGAATTCCACAATTTGAGGCAAGAGATGTGTAATTGACATGCTCAGGTGAGTGGTACAGTAGCATGCGAATATATAAAAGCAGGCTTATATTCAAGCAAGAAACTGCATAAGCAATGCTAATGTTAGGTTAGC